AAGCATATCCTCAGGTGCTCTAGACTGAGGTGGCTCTTTCCCAAGGACACGTGTGGTGGTGCTCCAGGCGTGGAGCTGAGTCTCTGGCACACACTGTGTGCAGCACTGCACGTGTCCTGGCTAGAGAGGACAACCCCAGGAGCTCCCCGTGCACCACGTGTGGCTCTCATGCAGCAGGGGCAGGCAGAGACAGGCTGAGTGACCCCAGCCCCACACCACGGGCAGGGTCATACCTTCTCCTCGTTGCTGATGTTCCGGGTGGAGGTTCTCCAGGTGATGGAAGGGATTGGGTCCCCAGAGGCCTCACAGGTCAGTGTGATCTGATCCTCCAGCTCCATGGCTGTTTTATTCTCCACGTAGGTGATTTTGGGTTTTGCTGGGGAGGAGGAAGAGCAACCTTCATTCAGTTGGGGCTCAGAAGGTGCCAACAGCAGTGCTTGAAACAAGAAACACTGGGGGAAAAGGCTTGGGAATTGTGCCCAGTTTACTGCCACGTGAGAAAGGAGCCAAAACATTGGAGAGGTCACCCCCTTACAGGACTAGAACCCACTCCTGCTACCCTGAGGCTTGTAAGAGAGGACTGAAGAGGTTTATTACTCAAAGCAGAACCCACTTCACAGTGCACAAAAGATCAGGCCCTGGGATTACCAGCTGAGTCTTCCACCTCTCTGTCTACTTTCTCTGCCCCAAATTAGCCTTTTGATAAGCAGCTTTGCCAAGTGGCTGCATATGGGACAGGGAGAATTATATTCCTCAACACTCCCAGATTCATGGAAAGCAGGAAAGCTGCTGATTCATTCCCACAAGCCTGAGGTCACTCACACAGGGGTGGGGTAAAGTTCACCTCCCTCTCCAGCTCACACAGGGGTGGGGTAAAGTTCACCAACCTCTCCAAGATACTGCAAAGCCCCACTGAAGGGCTAAAGCTCTTTTAACAGCAGCTTGGGGGGGATTAGGGTTCAGCCCTCTGGGCCTGGAAGGTATTTCAGGTAGCAGAATGTCATCACACCACTTCTGCCCTTGTCCAGGACTGTATTTCCCTTCCCCAGGAGGAGCTGGGACGTGTCAGACACACACAGGATGGCAGAGGTGCCACAGCATCACACGGGGAAGCAGCAGCTCCACACAAACCACATCAAGCATTGCCTGGGATAGGGAGGTTACTTGCAGCTTGGAGCAGTGAGCTACAACACCCTGGTGGGCTGGGCTGGGGAGAGCAAGAGCTGCTTACCAAAGACCTTGAGATGGATGGTGGCATCTGCCTCTCCAGCCTTGTTCTCAGCAATGCAGATGTACTCGGCCTCGTCGCTCTTGTCCACCTTCTTGATGATGAGCTCGGAGCCATCGTAGTTAAAACTGTACTTCTCCACATCATCAGCCTCCTCCACGGGCTCTCCATCCCTGGGGGCAGAGCACAGGGGCTGTGTTGGGCAGTCAAAGCAGAGTTTGGTTTGGGCTTATCAATGCTAGAACTGCATTGCTGCTCTGAACCTCCTCCTGCTGAGAGGGAGCAGCACTTCTTCCCGTCCCTACGGGCTGGAAGCTCACATCTGCATCCACTCCCAACCCCTCCTGCCTCAGGGCTCTTGGCAGCTGATCCTTTCACCTCCTGCCACACACCACAGGGCTGTGACACCACTGAGGGTCCTTGCAGCAATCCCCCTTGTCCTCATAATCTGCACCAAAGCTCCACAACCTCCAGAACAGTGTCCCTGGAGGCTGTACCACTGACCCCGGAGTGCCACCGGCTGGGAGGGGACACAGCCAGGCACACCCTCCACCTGCTGCCAGTGGGAAGCAGCAAAGGGATTCCTTGTTTGGCTTTGCTTCCATGCACAGCTTTTATTTTCTCTATTAAACTGTCTTTATGTCAACCAACAAGTATTTTCCCCCTCCTGATTCTCTTCCCCATCCCACCCGCTCTGAGTGGGCTGTGTGCTAGCTGCTAACCCGCAGCAGATGACTCCAGTTCAGTTCTGGGGCCACTCTTCTGTGACAAAAAGCACTATCTTATTCCAGTTTAAAAGTTCCTTCCCCTCCAGCCTTGGTGAGGACATCCATGCTCACACAGAACCAGGACATGCACACAGCATCTTACTTGGTCCACGTGACGGTTGGTTCAGGAAAACCATCAGCATCACACGCCAGGGTGACAGACTGGCTGAGGTTGGCAGTGGCATTCATACTGCTCTGCCTGGCACGCACCGAGGGAGGGACTAGAAGAGAAGAAAGCCACAGTAGAGTTGGGAAGGGACAGGAGGTGTGAGCTAGAGGCAGCTCTGGGAGGCTCTCTGTCCACCTCCGCAGGACACACAGACAGCACCAGGAATCCAAACCCTTCCACCATCACCTGCAGGTTTGCTGCATGAGGAATCAGCACAGGGAGCAAAGGGTGAGGAGACAGATGAAAAAAACCCAACAGTGTTGTGGACAAAACCACAAGATCAATTCCTCACTTTGAGTCATGCATTGCTTCAGGTCTCTCTTGACATGTCAATTCCCTGTAAACACCTGGGAAACAATCACTCAGTCTCACAGATAGTTTTGTGACACAGCAGGGAGAGAGGAGTACACTGATGGGAAATCCTGAGGGTGAAGGTGCCGAGCAGCAGCCTGGAGGGAGTGACAGCCCTGCCCTGCTCCCTCTGCTCACCATTGACGATGACCTGGATGTCCTTGAAGTTGATCTCCCCCCGTGCCAGGATCCTTCCCTCGCAGCGATACGTGCCCTCATCCGTCTTCTTGATCCCTCGGATCTGCAGGTAGTTGTTGGACAGGACTATGAATCGAACTAGAAGAGACAAAAGGAAGGTTCACCCAAGGATCCTCAGGTAAGATCACTGCAGGTTCTGCTCCTCCTGGCTTGAGACAAGGCTTAGTGGATAACATGTCCCTTCCCACTGGTAAATGGAGATGCTGCTGTAACTGGGCCTGACACTGCCAAGAAGGAAATCCACGTGTGGGCAGCAGACACACTGTGCTGTGTGAAGACTCAGAGATGAGCAGAGAAATACACAGAAATACGTTTACATCTGATCAGTACCAGGCAATGTGGGACTCACCCCTTGCCCGAGGGTGGCAGAGCTCAAGGCTTTCTGCCTCACCCCCCTGTGCCTGCAGTGAGCAGGGGTGGGAAGGAGCTGAGGCACCAAACTCAGCTGGGGTCAGGGTGCAGAGTCCCCTCTGCCAGCAGTGCCCCCATGGGCATGGCAGTGTGAAGGAAAGGGAAAGGTTCTTCAAGGAGCTTTCAGCCCCTTTAGCTCAGGAAGGCTGGAGAGAGACACGACATGCAGCTTTTCTGTCTCATGGCACTGCTGATTTGAGTTTGTTTTCTAGCACTGCTTGGGCTCTTCCAGTGTCAAAGCCCAATGGCCATTTCTGTGGGAGCACTGCTGCCCTGCCATTGCCAAACCACAGCACCTGGAGTAACTACATTCACATCTTAAGACCTAGTGCCAGGTCCAAATTGCTTCTCCTTCCCCTTGTGCCCACGACCATTCCGTGTGTGAGCCTTAGACCCTGATGACAGATGGACATTTGACCCCTGAGGGGATGAGCACCAAGACCTTACCATCTTTCTTTAGGATAACATCCCTGCCTTTGTGCTTCCAGATGATGGTGGGAGGCAGAGAGCTGACCACATCACACACAATCACAGCATCATCCCCCTCCTTGAACTCCTGCGGGGTGGGAGCGTTCTTGAACATCAGCTTTTCTGCAAACAAGGGAGGGAGAAAGTCACTGTAGCTTTCTCAGCACGCCCAGCTGTGCTCCTGCCTCAGCCTGAGGGAAGCAAAGAAACCCCAGAGGACCCCAAAACCCCTAGAGATCACCAAACTCCTGAGGATAAAGCAGTGTCTGCCAGTGCAGTGCCCCACCCGAGCTCCACTTCCCAGTCCTGCCCCTCAGATCAGTACTCTGAACACCCCACAGTGCAAAATGTGAACCTGGAGCTGCTCAGTTTCCCAGCAGGAAGGCCAAGCTGCTCTCAGGGCTCTGCTGGACAACACGCTGATGGTTAGGATAAACCTGCTCAATGTGTGGGTGTCTCTGCTGAACACTAGTGTTGTCTCACAGCACGTCTGTCACCCACCACAGCTGCTCTCTCTGCCACTCCTCCCAGACACTTCTGAAGCCCCAGAATCTTCTCCTCCACCCCTTGCTGTGCTGTCTCAGAAGCCCTGAAGCAGCAGATGTGCTGGCAATGCCCTAACCAGCCAAGGCCCTAGAGTTCCCACTTACCCCTCACCACCAAGAAAGGAGAAAGTAGCATCTTCTAAACATCCCCTCTCTTTTCACCTTCCTTCTTCCCCTTTACCAACAGCCTTTCCTAGGAAGGTGCAATGGTTTCCTCCCTAATCTTGCCTCACCCACGTGCAAGGAAGCCCAGAGGAAAGAGCCTGGGAGCCTCTGTCTTACGGAAAATCTTCACGTTGACGGTGGCCTCGGAGTCTCCCTCCTCCAGGCTACTGACGACACACTTGTAGATGCCAGCGTCGTCGATGTTGGCGTTGTAGATGGTGAGGGTGGAGGAGAAGTCATCGTTCCGCACCACCGAGATGCGCTGCTGGTTCGGCGTCAGCTTCTCCCCGTTCGGCGAGAACCACGAGATGTCTTTGGACTTGGCCTCCCCTGCCACTGTGGGGAGAGCAAACTGAGATCAGCTCCCAGCTCTGCAGTGCTCAGTGCGGGTCCTGTCGCTCGAGGGGCTTTAGCTGACCCCACAACATCATCACAAAAACACTTGTCGGAGAACAGAAGAGGAGGAGGCTCAGGGGTGACCTCTTGGCTCTCTGCAATTCCCTGACAGGGTTGGAGAGAGGTGAGGGATGTGTGTCCTGCCAGGGCTGCAGGGAGAGGACTAGAGGGAATGGCCTAGAGCTGAGCCAGGGCAGAGTCAGATTGGATGTGAGGAGAAATGTTTTCCCTGTGAAGGTGTTCAACACTGGGATATTGCCCAGGGAGGTGGTGGAGTCACCATCCCTGGAGGTGTTTGAGAGGCATCTGGATCTGGCATTAGAGTATATAGTTTGGGGATTCCAGCAGTGACAGGTCAACGGTTGGACTCGATGATCTTAGAGGTCTCCCCCAGCCCTGAAGATCCTATGATTCTGTCCTTTAATTTTGAAAGCACTGGCACTAACGAGTTCGACCCAACTGGTGCCTCAAGCCATCGCTCACCTTGACATAAGAAGAACTTGGATTCTCCAACGCTGATCTCCCCCTGACTTGGAACAATGTCCACTTGTAGAGAGGCTGGAAAGGAAAGGAGCACACACAAGATGGTTAGACAACAGGAATGGTCTTCAGCAAAAAGCTTTGCAGCCTTCCAGTCCCCACAGCCCCTGAGTCTATCCAAGGGCAGAGCAGAGTCCAGTCGAGCCCTTAGCTCCTGGTCTGAGTGACATTGGTATGAACAATCCCTCACAGCCCTTCCCAGTGCACACCCCATGCATGCCCAGTGCCCTTTTCCCCCAGCAACATCACTGCCTCCTTCATTGCATAAATGATGACCCATTAGGCAGAAAATGTAATTGGATTCTGGCTTTCCTCCAGCTATAGCTTAATTCTGCTGCAGATCTGTGGCCTAACAAGGCCAGGTCAAGTTGAATTTGAGGACGCCAAAGCGAAGAGGTTTTCTTTCCAACACACCCTCTGTGTCTCAGGCTGTAGTGCATGTAAATCCTTCTCCCACAGCAGCTAATTTTACCTCCAGACCACAGAGGTGCTGGTTTTAGCTGCCAAACACACCTGGGTGTTTAGGCAACAAACCTGACTGGACGTGCCAATGGCAACATTCCTTGAAGTCCTTGGGAAACATATGGACTGGGGGGTCAGACACCAAGTATGTGGCTGCACACAGCTGAAGGAGCAGTGCCTGCCCTGGGTAAAAAAAGACAGAGCTAATAGGATTTTCTGAGCACATTCCCTGGGCCAACAACCATTCTGACACAGCACTTCTCTTCCTAAGCAAACTGGAAGCAATTAATGGGAGCCAGTGGAGCTCCACACAAGATAATCACAATGCAAGCTCCACATCACCTCTCTACTTTTACTCTCAGCAGATCTGGGCAGGCTGCACTGATAAATGCTGCTGTTCTAGCCCCAAAGCCTGGGACACAACAACCCCCAGCCAAGACTCCAGTGAGAGCAGAGCTCTGGCTGTGGTCACACGTGGGCTGCTGTCAGAAGGGGATGGTAAAGCATCCCTGCAGCTCCTGAGGAACAGCAAGGGGCTTACTGCAGCCTCTCCTGGCCTAAGACACTCATCTGAGCCCTGTCCTTGTCACCAGCTGGGAACACAGTGAAGTGGGGCTGGAATTCTCCCACTGGAACAGCAGAGCAGCCCAAGGAAGGGCTCCTGGCCCAGCCACCAGCTTGTCTTCTGCTCAGCAAGCCATAGGGTGCTGCTAAAATGGCTTTGAGCTAACTGAGACCTAATATAACTTCACAGCCCTTTTTGTTGCCACTCTGCACTGTACAAACACAGCACTGGCCTCTGCACACTTCTGTGGGAGCTGCTGCGTGCTGGGAAGGCAGTGGCACAGCCTGGGCTTATTAATGCCTTTCATTCCATTCTCAGGTGCTTTCTGTTAGAGCCAGAGAGGAGAAAAAAGGCTCTGTGCAAAGCACTGAACTCTCCATCACCCCTGAATTCAGCATCACATCTTTTCTTACATGTGCCTGTGCCATGGTAGATGCAAAGAACAGGAGGAAATCACACAAGCAGCGAATAGATCTCACTGTAAATACAGCCAAAAGGGCCAGGCAGGAGATCTGAGCCCAGGCAACAGCATCCAGCTCTCCCATTTCCCTGCATTTCTTCCCAGGGCTCAGCTCCTTCTGCGCATTTAAGTGCTGGGCAGAGTTTCAAGAGAACAAAACCTCGAAATCACCCTCGGGAGCAAGGCAGAAGTGCCTGGAGTCTTTGGGAGGAGAGGAGAACAGCCCTGGTTATGCCTCAGTCAGTCAGTGCTCCTGCTGCTTCACCAGCTGCAAAGTTATCATTAGCTCCCATAATTACTGGCCTAAGAAATTGAATTTGTGGAAAGGTTGTGCAGAGGGGCAGCAATTCCTCCTCCAGAGTCCCTGTGTGTGCCAGCACAGCCTCTTCAGCCAGGCACAGAGGAAAACTCCTGACAGCCTGACTAACTCCACACCTTTCAAACCCATCCATTGCCACGGGGCAGGAGCTGTGACCTGGAAAACAGCAGGAACCAGGAGTCAGTATTAACAAATCTCCTCCACACTACACTTCAGCGTCTTCAATCTACTCCAGGAACAAGATGCTGAAGGACCCTGAGGCTGCTCAGAAGTTAACTGCTGTCTCAAGTGCTATTTCACTCCCATTTCCACTGGGATAGGAAACTCCCAGAGCTCATCTATGCAGAAACACACCGAGGACAGTTATCAAAGGCACAAAACATACTTTAAGAACCTCCAACATCTCCATTCTGCCAAAGATGTTGAGACACAAAATTCTACCTGGCTTTTTTTTTTTTTTTCAGTCTCTTGTGTCTTCCCCTGGTGGTGATGCTCTGAGACTGGGCAGGCTGTGGAGCTGCTCCAGCCCTGGGTTTTGTTCCCAGTGTGTTGGCAAACAGTGCCAAGGCTTCCTCCTACAAATCCCCAATCCCTGGTGATGAACCCAGGCACAAAAGATCCCAGCTGTGCTTGGCCAGCAGCTCCAGCAGGGAAGCTGGAGGTAACTCCTGGCAATCAGCTCTGGGTCGAGAAGAAATGTTCCTCAAAATGACTCACGTCAAGCTCTGCAGTTATGTCACACCAGGGAGAATTCAGCCCAAATAGTCTCACCCAGCCTCTGTCAGCAGCACAGTTTGCTGACACCATAACCTGGATAAACAGGTTCATCAGAACAATGAGCTGTGCCTGGGATTGCACAAACAATTGCTCCCCACTTGCCCAACGTTATTGCTCAGGGTCTGATCACACCAACAAACCCAACACTGCCACGGGTTTGAATCACCACTTAATCTTTAGTTTTGCTTCGTGGTTCAGGGAGATGGAGACTATTTTTTCCACTCTTCATTTAATAGACACTCTGAGCCCATTTGTATTCCACTTCCAACTTCCAGCAATAAAGGCCTTTTTAGCATCACATAATAACTCCATTAAAAGGCCTCTTCATAATCACACAATAACACTTTTTATAGCTCTGCCCTCCCCCATATCTTTTATCTGGTGACAAAGTTCCTCAGCCCCCAAATAATGCTGAATAATTCCCCATTGATCGGGGAAAAAAATTGCTAATGCAACTTCCTGTTCGTCTGGAGTTAAACATAATTAGGTTTGCATTGCAACAAAAGAAATGAGCTCAGACGAAGTCACTGGTTGGGGAATGGGGAGGGAAGTGATCCCTGCTGGGCTGAGCCTGAGGCTAACACAGGTTGTACCTGGGAGGTAAAGGTGCCACTTGCAGCAGGGGAAAGTGTGTTAATTGCTGAGTGTTGGCTTAGATCTGCCCAGCCAGGCAGGGAGGAGTGACCACTCTCCTCCTCAGTCTGCAGGAGTTTAGTGCTCACACTGCCCTGGGAGATCTGCCTGGGCCCTGCAAAGAGAATGTCACAGGACACTGAATGCCCCCAACTACAAGTCTGCAGTGATGAAAATATCCTGTTATATATGAGAGGTTATCAGAGAATCAGCATAGAATTTTAGGAGTTGGAATGGAGCTGAGAGATGACCCAGCCCCAACTCCTGCCCTGGGCAGGGACACCTCCCACCAGAGCAGGTTGCTCAAGGCTCATCCAACCTGGAATGAACATTGCCAGGGTTGGGGCAGCCACAGCCTCCCTGGGCAACCTGTGCCAGTGTCTCACCATCCTCACAGGGAACAATTTCTCCCAAAAACCTAATCCAAAACTCCTCTTCTTCAGCTTAAGGTCATGGCAGGTGTGAGGGTAGACACTTCTTTCTTAACCAGAAGGAGTCTCTAAGTAAGCCAATAGAAGGGAAATAAGTGATATGTTATATGGTTACCATGTCACTGGGGAGGTCACTTCAGATTCCTGAGAGCCAGTTAGTTATGTCTGCAGGAACCAAGAGCATTTCAGCTACCTGGTTACCTTTTGAGTCCCATTAATAGCTAAACCTCCCAGTTCTCAGTGCTGTGACATCTCCACTGCTGCCTCTGAGCACAGCCAGAGCACTGGGATGGCATTCGAGGGCACAGAGCTCCTGTGCTGGTGTCACCTCTGTCCCAGGTACCTGTGTGACTATGCAAGGGAAGCTTAGGGGAAAACCCATCACCTTTGGGCAAACAAAACACAATCTGGCTGAAATCAGCTGTCAAAACACACATCCACAGGTTCCTCCCTTAAAGACTACACCTCTCATTTCCTTCATTTCTAGCAATTAAACTAAATCAGAGAAATAAACAACATCGATCGGGGGGGGAAAAAAACACATCTAGTTGGTGTGATGCTGCAGCTGAGCGAGGGCAGGATTTGTAGAGCTTGTGAGTGCAGCAGATTATGGTGAAAGCCCTGAGGATTTAATACACAACAAAGGCTTAACAAGACAAAGACAAGGCTCCTGGACACGGGCACTGTATTAAAACCACGCTGACTGCTCAGGAGGAGGAGGAGGAGGAGGAGGAGGAGGCAGCTGGGATTGATCCCAGCTGGCCTGCGCATCCTGGTCCTCCCCCATCACCATGGCAACCGCTCCCTAAATCTGCCAGGAATTGGAGGAGGGGATGGCTGATACCTTTGGGGAATATCAGACCGTAAGGATTCAGGGAGGGAGCAAACAGCAGTGCACACAGTGCCACAATGGAACACAAAGGGAAAGATGTGAGCACAGCTAGGCCGAGAGGAGAAGCTCTGAAAATGCTTCTTGGCAATAAAGCAGAGTGGTAGCTGGGGGTGAGGGGATGCTCTGCACCCTGGCACGAGGGACAACAGCAGCACAGGCTGCACAGAGGGCACATCCCCTGCCCACAGCAGCTCCAAACCCACACTGAGCATCCCAAACCCATGGGCAGCCTCTGCCTCCAGCCCCTCGTCCTGCTGGACCATCCTCTGTCTGTCCTGCCCATCCCTGACCCACAACAGCCTCAAGGGGAATTTATGGCATGAAAAACTTCATTTCCAAAACGACTTCTGGGTGCTGGGGGTGGGAGGAATCTAACTCACTTACTGCTCTAAGAAAATCAGATGTTGCCTTATTTCAAGGCAAAAATGCTTCAATTTGCTGTGTAAAACAGGATAGCTTTGCCAGGGAGGAGCCTGCCC